ATTCTAGTTCAACAGAATGGGAGGGAGGGAGGGAGGGAGGGAGGAGTTTTTATTTATTTTTTTAGGTCCTAAGGCCATGGCCATTAGGAAATCACAGACACTAAGAAAACATGGCTAGTCACAGTGAGCTAAGACTGAATGAAAGAACTTCAGAATATATGCACTGGCCTAGTTTCAATTCTGTGTCAATGAGTTTTTGCTAGTGAAAAATTGTTCTTGAATTATAGTTTCATTACTCTATTCATCTGCAGATTCATCCTTCCTTATTCTGCTAGATACCAAAATAAACCTACTATTCAAATTAGCATGAGAGGCTTTATAGAAGATCAGCAGTTTTCACTGTCATTTATATATCCATTGTCTTGCATATTTAACATCTTTAGTTTATGTAGACTAAAAAGCCTTCAGCTGCTATATACTTAAACATATCCTATAGCCTCCATCACATTTTGGCATTCCAGAAAATTTATAGTCACTGTTTAATCTTGGGCATGACTTTTTTTCAAGAAGGACATCAACTCTTTAGAAAAACAGGTGCATAGCTCTCTGGCCTGACTGCACAAAAATGTGTTTGTTTTGCTAGATCTTTATCCCACTTGTCATTCAGTTGCTCAGAACAGTGTACATAACTGCCCCTCCTCTCTTTCGTCACAACAGCCCTATAAGGTAGTTTGGGCTAAGAAAGAGTCACTGGCCCCCAAATCACTCAGTGAGCTTCTGTGGCTGATGGTTGTCTTGAACACACTTGATATGTACAACATTCTTTATTATACACCAATTAGAATAATATTTACAGGGGAAAGCATAATTATAGAAAAAGAATGCATGACTTAATGGTCAAAAGAATTGAGTAAATATTCTAAGCTTTGGAATTTTTCCAAAGAAAAGACTGATGATGCATCATTCATTTCTTCTTTCAACTGTGGCCTAAACTAGATCATGTCTCCTCATATTAACATACTAAAAATCACAGCTAATCTCTTTCCAACAGAGATAAGTCTCTTTGAAGTCAGCCAGCAGTTTTAATCAATGTCACCCACCAGCAAGACGCCTGCATTCCACACATCCGCTCTCTTATCAAGTAATCCAGACCTTGCCAAATTTCTGTCTTAAGGTTTCTGGCAAAAGTTCCAAGGAAAGTGGTCTCTTACCTGCTGACAGGAAAGTATACAGTAGGTAAGGCTATATTTAGTCAAACTGCTGTACCTCAAAAATAAACTCTCCATGTCTTGTGGGTTGTATATTTTAACTTTTAATAATATTTTAATTTTTAATAATGATTGTTTTATATTTTTATAATGTTTGTTTTTATATATTTGTTGTTTTATTTGATTGTTGTACATCACCCAGAGTCACTCCTTGTGAGATGGGCAGCCGTATAAATTTGATTGATAAATAAATAAATAAACAGTCTCAAGAAGCCATTGAATCAAATCATCATTTATTAAATTTATACTCCACCTTTCTACTTACAGAAAACTATTATTTTTAAAATAATAAAAAGTACAAAATATGTAATGAAAATAAGATCATATAACTACAATCAATATAACTGAAAGTCAGTTTAAAAATCAAAACTTGCAATTGTGCCGTTTTCCTCAGTACTGGGAGAGTAGGGCCAAGTGCACCTCCCTGAAAGACTTTGGGAACTGCAGAAGATGGTGAAGCTTCGGGCAGCAAGGCATCTTCAAGGGCCTCTCCTGCTGATCTTAGGCATTGGGCAGGTTCAGAGTAGAAGAGGCCGTCTCTCAGGTCCTTGGCCATTTAAGGCTTTAAAGGTCAAACACCAAGGCCAGGCAAGCAGCCCACACTCAGCACAGAGATAGGCATCATGTAATCCCTGTATCATCCTGGTTAATACCCCAGCTGCAATATTTAGCATCAATTGCAATTCCTAAACAATTTTCCAATTAGCCAGGTGAAGAGCATATTGCAATAATTAGGGCAGGGTGGATAAGGTTCTCCTTGATAGTTCCTGGCCCATTTTCAAACTCAAATATTTCTCTTGCTGGCTCTACCCCCTACACCAAATTTGGTCCCGTTCTGCTTTCAGAGAGTAATCCCGTGGTCAGATGGACAAACAGAAATGGAGATGGCAGACATTTCACTCCCTTTGCATAATTTTTTCCCCAACATTTCATTGGATTGGAAAGAATAGAGACATGCCAGAAGGCAGCAAGGGCAAACCACTGCCAAGAAAATGACATGGATGTATCTATGGAGTTGAGCTCCACTTGAGGGATTCTCCTTTTTACTGAACTAAATCTTTGCCTGCCTGGCATGGCAGTCCCCAGAAACTCTTGCATGCAGCTTTGAAAGATACCCAGGAAGTTTTTGCAATTCTTTATGGAAATGAACATTATGTTACTTATCAATAAGAATACCTACTTCAGCCAAAAGAAACCAAGTAGGAAAGGGGACATATTAGCTAGCTTTATGTGGGCTTCCATCTAGACACAAAATGCTAATGAAACGCCACTCTAAATTCAGAAATGTGATCATAAAGTCTCAAAGTCCTTAAACTCCCCATAACCTTAGATCTAAAATGACTTCCGGTTGCAAAAGTTCTTATAAAACACCTTGGCTGAGGGCTATCTTTCCAGTCCTTAGCTGATTTTGCACAAACACTAACAAGAAATCAGTACATTCCAGACACTCATTCTTGTAGCACTATTATCAGGAATAGTGTAATTTTTTGCACAATTTCCTTGTCCCCTTTAGTAGTAACTATTTTCCTCCTAAGGTTCTCATTCAAAGCTGCAGCTTACAACTTGATGTCAGGAAAACATACGCTTGCCTTTGCAGGATGTGGTACTGGAATCTCATTCTAGCACTGGGGGGGGGGGGGACTGGCAATGTTATGATGTTTCTAGAACAAGGAGAGGCCCTTTACAAAGGCCACTTCAAATTCCAGCACTTTCTTACATCTCCAGAAAAGGGGGGGGGGTAAGGAATTACCTTATTCTCAAGTTTTTAAAACTGTCATCTACTCACTCCTGAACATTAAAAATGCCTCCCTACTTTTGCAGTCTCGTTTATGGATACCAGCCTCTCCTAGAATAGCAGCATCTATTCAAGCTGATGGAGATCAAGTTCTCACTATAAACAAGAAGACAGATTAAAAGGAAAAGTGGAGAAGTAGAATGGAAGCTTATAAGGTTATACATGCTGTGGAGAAAGTAGATGGAGTGACATTTTTCTTCTCTTTCTCATAAATCTTAAACATGTTTTTTTTTTAAACCAATTGGTAAGAAATTCAGGACAAAGTAAAAAGTACTGGTTATCTGGTGACAACCTTAACCGTGATAGCTACTATGGATTCCAGGTTCAGAAGCAGTGTGCCTCTAATCATTAGTTTCTTATGGACTTCTCAGACCTCTGGTTGGTCAAAGAAATACTAGATTAGTATTTAAATTAGTGGTGGACAACATTTTCATTGCTAGGGGCTCTACTGATTTTTATTTTTTATTCTTTTCAACCATCAATGGACAAGATAACATTATTCTACCTTTTGGGGGAGGTTTCAGCAGACTATGGCATACAGGCTACCAGAAAATAAATATAACTAGTTAAGAAACTTGCAGTTGATAAGAAAATGAGAGAAAACTTCATTTGCTAACAATACACATATGCACATCATATCAAGCATCCTCTCAATCCAATCTTATACATAATTACTCATTGGAGTAACAGTTCCATGCATACTTCTTCCATAGGAGTAAGCCCTGCTGACTTCTGTAAGATTCACTTATCAACAACTGTCTCGTCAGTCTAATAGGTAGAGTTCTATTCTCCACCTCTCAGACTGTAGTCTTGCAAATGCTGTTATCTAATTCCTCTATGTGCTACAGTACCGGACCTTATTTCTATCTTACTTGTGGAACACATTCCAACACCATTCTGAGACCACAGTTGTTCTGCTCCTATTTTTCCAATTCATTTCACAGTGCTCAAGCAGTTAGCCAGAACAAATAATGAACATGGCCCTGCTTGACGCCAAATTCAGCTTGTCGCATGTAGGGAGAAGTGCTGACTTCATCCTGGTGTCCTCAGAATCCACAGATTATCCCCTTGTAATCTCTCCGCTCAGAAGAATATGGCTAGAGTTTCAACAATAGACCTTCTAAGAACTGCAGTAAATTATTCCAAGGAAGTAGAAGAACTTTAAGGTCAGATCCTACCAGTCTCCCAAAAATTACAAATGTTTCTGAGGCCTTTGCTGAGATGACATATAACCCACTTAGTGCTATCCAAAGTCCTGATTGCTGTTCATTAAAAGCTACTATTTTAATCTGTCCACCTTTATTTTAATTTTAATCACAAAATAAACAGTTTAAAATACCTTAATTTGCTTCTCCATTAGATT